GAGTGAGTGAGTGAGTGAGTGAGTGACTGAGTGAGTGAGTGAGTGAGTGAGTGACTGAGTGAGTGAGTGAGTGAGTGAGTGACTGAGTGAGTGAGTGAGTGAGTGAGTGACTGAGTGAGTGAGTGAGTGAGTGAGTGACTGAGTGAGTGAGTGAGTGAGTGAGTGACTGAGTGAGTGAGTGAGTGAGTGAGTGACTGAGTGAGTGAGTGAGTGAGTGAGTGACTGAGTGAGTGAGTGAGTGAGTGAGTGACTGAGTGAGTGAGTGAGTGAGTGAGTGACTGAGTGAGTGAGTGAGTGAGTGAGTGACTGAGTGAGTGAGTGAGTGAGTGAGTGACTGAGTGAGTGAGTGAGTGAGTGAGTGACTGAGTGAGTGAGTGAGTGAGTGAGTGACTGAGTGAGTGAGTGAGTGAGTGAGTGACTGAGTGAGTGAGTGAGTGAGTGAGTGACTGAGTGAGTGAGTGAGTGAGTGAGTGACTGAGTGAGTGAGTGAGTGAGTGAGTGACTGAGTGAGTGAGTGAGTGAGTGAGTGACTGAGTGAGTGAGTGAGTGAGTGAGTGACTGAGTGAGTGAGTGAGTGAGTGAGTGACTGAGTGAGTGAGTGAGTGAGTGAGTGACTGAGTGAGTGAGTGAGTGAGTGAGTGACTGAGTGAGTGAGTGAGTGAGTGAGTGACTGAGTGAGTGAGTGAGTGAGTGAGTGACTGAGTGAGTGAGTGAGTGAGTGAGTGACTGAGTGAGTGAGTGAGTGAGTGAGTGACTGAGTGAGTGAGTGAGTGAGTGAGTGACTGAGTGAGTGAGTGAGTGAGTGAGTGACTGAGTGAGTGAGTGAGTGAGTGAGTGACTGAGTGAGTGAGTGAGTGAGTGAGTGACTGAGTGAGTGAGTGAGTGAGTGAGTGACTGAGTGAGTGAGTGAGTGAGTGAGTGACTGAGTGAGTGAGTGAGTGAGTGAGTGACTGAGTGAGTGAGTGAGTGAGTGAGTGACTGAGTGAGTGAGTGAGTGAGTGAGTGACTGAGTGAGTGAGTGAGTGAGTGAGTGACTGAGTGAGTGAGTGAGTGAGTGAGTGACTGAGTGAGTGAGTGAGTGAGTGAGTGACTGAGTGAGTGAGTGAGTGAGTGAGTGACTGAGTGAGTGAGTGAGTGAGTGAGTGACTGAGTGAGTGAGTGAGTGAGTGAGTGACTGAGTGAGTGAGTGAGTGAGTGAGTGACTGAGTGAGTGAGTGAGTGAGTGAGTGACTGAGTGAGTGAGTGAGTGAGTGAGTGACTGAGTGAGTGAGTGAGTGAGTGAGTGACTGAGTGAGTGAGTGAGTGAGTGAGTGACTGAGTGAGTGAGTGAGTGAGTGAGTGACTGAGTGAGTGAGTGAGTGAGTGAGTGACTGAGTGAGTGAGTGAGTGAGTGAGTGACTGAGTGAGTGAGTGAGTGAGTGAGTGACTGAGTGAGTGAGTGAGTGAGTGAGTGACTGAGTGAGTGAGTGAGTGAGTGAGTGACTGAGTGAGTGAGTGAGTGAGTGAGTGACTGAGTGAGTGAGTGAGTGAGTGAGTGACTGAGTGAGTGAGTGAGTGAGTGAGTGACTGAGTGAGTGAGTGAGTGAGTGAGTGACTGACTGACTGAGTGAGTGAGTGACTGAGTGACTGATTGAGTGAGTGAGTGAGTGACTGACTGACTGACTGAGTTAGTGAGTGACTGACTGACTGACTGAGTGAGTGACTGAGTGAGTGACTGAGTGAGTGAGTGAGACCTATCTGGATCTTGACAGATAGTTTGTTACAAAAGATTCACTCTCACTGCGGTAACTGAAGAAACCATAGACTGCTTCTGGGGAGTCGGCGGAATCAAAGTGCCAACACAACAGTTGGTGAAAGACACCATAAGAACCAAGAACAGGATCTGAGTCTATGAGCGAATGAAAGGGAAGGACAACACTGCATTATAAGCTGATGGTAAGTTGATGCTCTGTTTAAGTCAAGAGTGTGAAGGAACTGCAGGCTCATGATGTTAACAGAGTTGCTCAATATCAAAATATATATTAAGAAAATGCAATGCAATCAAATAAAAATAGCATTATTATTATTTCACTTTTTTTTGGAATGGTTAACTTTACTTGAAATCTAGAATTTCAAGTAAAATTCAGATCAAATGGCTTCAGCTGACAAAAACAGTCAGGAAGTAAATGGATGAGAAATAATACATTTTCAGGGAAAGCTGGTGATTTTTTTGGGACACAATATGTATATTAAAACAGAAACAAAAACATATACAAACATTAATTAAATTATCCAGAGGCAGAATTAAGATGTTTCAGTGCTTCACTCAAGTTGCATAAGAAGCATCCAACAGTTTACTGTACTGTACTGTAAAAGGCATGTTTATTTTCAGGAATGTACACTCCATCCCAGCCAATGAGATGAGAAGCAGTACAGTGACTGTGATGAGGAAGCACATGCTATTCGCCTGATGCTGTACATACAGTGATATAGATATGAAACATATAATCAGTTAGAGTTAATAAAGAAACCTGTCAATACATTTCAATAAAAGGCAACACATTTTGATTACCAAAATTAAAATGAACCTTACACACATAGGCCTATCATATATAAAATTAATAAACAATTCTAAATATTATAAAACATACATTTACACATAATCAATATTGATTAAAAAAACATTGTCTGGACAACAAGAATCATCAGTGAGTGAAATGGGAATTAAATTAAATGAAACAAAAGAGTAGCCTAAAACATCCGATGAGTTACACTATGATCCAATATGATTCAAAATATAGTAGAACATTTTTATTTCCTTTACAGATGAAATATGACACAGACGCGCTTTCACGAGATTAACCATATGCTATGTTATCTTATATTAGGCTATGCTCTTTTCTTTATTCTTTATTTCACTCAGTCAGGTCATGATAACACTGCGCGCACTGCAGCCAAAATCTATTATTAGTCCATCAATAACAAACACATCTTGCCACAAATAAAAACGCACAGGCGGCCGTCTAACGTGACTGCAGCTCGGGTCATATGAAGAACCACAGACAGACTTCAAACAGCATTTTTACAACAACATTTTCTTTTCTTTTCCACCGTTACACAGAAAGTAATCCCATTCGCAGGCTGCAGCTGTTTCAAGGTAAGTGCGCAAAGCTTGGAGTATGTCTCATATTTACGACAAAAATAACGGTGAGCTGGAGAAGGTTAAACTGTAATGCATTGCAGAGTCATGATTCATGTTCAAGAGCTTTCGTGTGTCAGTCAGAGATTGTGTTTCAGTGGGGTCACCTCTGATATAATGACCACGATAAAGACAACAATGCCGATGGATACAACTTTTAAAGTATGTTGGCCCACGTGCTTAGAAACTGGAACACTACTGTAATATTGTGAAATATTATTGCAATTTCTAATATTGGTTTCCTATTTTAATATACTTTAAAATATAATTTATTTCTGTGACGAAGTGCTGAATTGTCATCAGTCATTACTGCAGTCTTCAGTGTCACATGATCTTCAGAAATCAGTATAATATGCTGATTTATTATCAGTGCTGAAACTGTTGAGCTGCTTAACATGTATTTACTTTAACCTGTGATACTTTTTTCTTTGATGAATAAAAAGTTAAAAAGAACAGCATTTATTCAAAATATAAATCTTTTCTAACAGTATACGTCTTTACTATCCCTTTTTATCAATTTATCACATCTTTGCTGAATAAAAGTATTTTCTTAAAAAAATACTGACTTCAAAATTTTTAATAGAATATTGTAACACAAAATTTCTATTTGAAAGAAACACTGTTCTTTTTTTTCTTTTTTATTAATCAAATAATCCTGAAAAAAGTAGCAGAGGTCCAAATAAAATATTAAGCAGCACAACCGTTTCCAACATTGATTAAATCAGATGATTTCTGAAGATCATTGTGACACTGGAGACTGGAGTTATGATGCTGAAAATACAGCTGCGCATCACAGAAATAAATTATATTTGAAAGTATATTAAAATAGAAAACTGTTATATTAAATAGCAATAATGTTTCACAAAATTTTTTTTTTCTGTATTTTTGATCAAATAAATGCAGCCTTGATGAGCAGAAGAAACTTCTTTAAAAAACATTAAAAATCTTACTCATCCCAAACTCTCTCTCTCTAAATATACACACAGACACACACACGCACACACAGACACACACACACACTAGCCGTCGTACCTACAATGAGCAAGATTTTTTGAGAAATTGTTTTGATGATCTGATGCAACATCTTCCTGGATCTGTTCAGACATCTGCTCATTAACTGAATGATTTCACACTTTTAATAGGTTTCCAATGTCTCAGAACAAAACCAGAGGGAAACTAGAGAAAAAGGCGGCAGATAAGTCCATTCATCTCCAGTCTTCCTCTGTGAAAAGCAGACATGCAGCAGGTGAAGAAAGAAGAGAAAAGGAAGCTGGAAGTCACATCGCATCCTCAAGTCTAAAAACAACTGTTAGAGAAAAAAAGTCAAACGTCCCTCCAACTCCTCCCACATCAACCCATTCCCCGCCCACTTTCAGAAAACCTCCTCCTATAGAGCCGCTCTTTGATCCGGAGCTCCGCCCCTTTGTGTTTCCCACACACTGCGACGCTCTCTTCGCCTCACTGCGAGGACTCAAGGAGTAGGGGCTTCTGCTGGACTGCAGTTTAAAACTCCTAGGCAACTCCCACAAGGCTCACCGACTGGTGCTGGCTGCTGTCAGTCAAACGGCAGAGGCGTGGCTATTATCTGGAGAGGCGGGGCTTAAGGAAGTGGAGCTGGATGGAGGACGGGTGACTCCTGCAGGACTGAAGGCTGTACTGGACTTCAGCTACAGTGGAGAAGCGGACAGAGGAGAAACGGATGAGGTGCTGGAAGCCTGTAGGTGTTTAGGGGCCGAAAGACTCGAGCGACTGTGTGGTAAAGATGTTGCGGTCAGCGGGAGCGAAGAGAGGGAAAGAAGCCTGAGGGTCATCCGAACACTGTGGGAGAGAAACGTTGGCTGTGATGTCATCTTACAGACAGACAGAGGAGACCGTTTCCCTGGTAACAGTGAGATCTGAAATCCAAGCTAAACAAAAATAATATAATTAAACTAAAAGCAATTAAAATTAATAGGTAATAAACTAAATTAAATATAAAATTTTGTCTTGAGGCCAGATACTCTACCACAAATAAATAGTGCTGAAAGATTATGAATAAAAATTAGAATTCAGGTAAGGGGGGGGGGGGGGGGCTGTCTTTGAGCGCGCACGGCATCCGGTGCGTGAGGTGTGTACGCGCTCTGGCGTAGTTTATGTTAATGGGTGTGTTGATATCCAGCCGAAGAGCAATCAACCATAACTTCAGGCGAGCAGGCTCAGAAGTTGGGAATATGTGGAAAGTCACCACTCCCGAATGAGTTTGCGCCAGATAAGGTAATCGTTTAGTTTTAAATCAGTTTGAACAATCCGGATAAGCGCAAGTAAGTACCATTTTGATTAGCCGTCGTACCTACAATGACTGTGCACTGTGCAAACAATGAGTGACGTATACCCGCGAGAGATCACTTCCGGCGCTTGCGTAAGCTACGCCAGAGCGCATACACACGTCACGCATAGATTTTTTACTCTCATAGATTTTGTTACCATTGCCATGCATTATAAGACTGATGGACTGCAATGGTTAAAGTTAAAAATCATCAAATGTGTTCTACTGAAGAAACAAAGTCACCTACATATTGGATGCCCGGGGGGTAAGCAGATAAACATCACATTTTCATTTCTGGGTGAACTATCCCTTTAAGCATGATTGTAGCTACAGTCAAGCTACTCTTCTGAAAAAGTAGTTAGCTGCACTACAAGTTACTATAAAAAGTAGCTAGCTATGCTGATGCTACATTTTTTTCACAATGATGCGAAATAAGTGAATATGCATAAATGAGGAATGTTTAAGAAACATTTAAAAACATTTTTATGATGTCAAAGTATATTGTTTTATTACACACAATATAAAAAAATTGTGAAAAAGCAAAAATTAGAATAAAACAAATATTTTACAGGGACGGCATTTAAGAACAACAACAACAAAAACTATTGTAAACCTCTGTACACTGGAGAATAACATATGGAATATCATACGTTTACTTCAAATTTGTTTAGAAAGAAATTATCGTTCCCCAAAATGTATTTTTCCATTCATACTCAAGAGGGCGCCCTTGTGCAAAATCTCAAAATGCCTCACAGAAGTAATATAACTAACACTGAGCTGAATAAAATGAAGATATAAATGATTTGACTGACTAAACAAAGACAATAAACACACAGCTGCAACAATATATCATTTGTCTGCGTTCTTCAATCCATATCTAGCATTTTCCTAAGAATATAAGGTATATTTCTAAAACAGTGCTAATCGAAATAGCATAGCATATGCAGCATATCGTACGAAGCCAAATCGTGATTTCAGTTTTATTCCATTAATCATGCAGCCCTAAATGAACATACAATTACGTCACTGATAGTCCTAAACTAGAAGAAGGTAATGCACTATTAATATGCTAACTTTTAAAAATACGCTACTCTTCTTCAGTCCATTGCAGGTTCATAAAATGGAATGTAACTCGTGTTATTTGCTGGAAAAAGTAGCTAGCTACCGGAAAAGCTACATTGTTTTAAGAGTAGCTGAGCTACTGTAAAGCTACTGAAAAACGTTGTTACGTTAGTAGCGTCACTGCATGTAGCTAGCTACTCCCCAACACTGTTTCTAACGTATAAGGTTGCTCACTAAATGTAAATGAGTGTTATCGTCACAGTTCTTTTGTTTGTTACTACATTTAACAGGGAATAAAATGCAAAGATACTTTTTTTTTTTTTGGTTTGTTGTCTTTAAATAAATTCATATTCGCTGATTATATCATAGTTGACATGTCTAATCTATTTTTTATAAAACAAATTAGTGTGCAGTTCAACTTTTCAATTTAGTCTGCAGCATTTATAATTGTGCAAAGAGTCATTTATGTCATAGCTATATTTCTCCTTGAATACTCTCTTCTAGCTCATCGCCTCATATTAGCAGCAGGTGCGGACTACTTTCAGGCTCTGCTCTGCGGAGGGTTACGGGAGTCCGGTGAGGGTGTGGTGTTACTGCGCGGTGTGAGGTCATGGGTGCTGCATGATCTGCTGGACTTCATTTACTCCGGCCGGCTGAACCTGAGCTGCAGGAACGTGTGGCATCTGACAGAAGCAGCTTCACAGTTTCAGCTGCAGGGGCCGCTGGCGCTGTGCTTAAACTTCCTGCAGGATAATATGGATGAAACTTCTTGCCTGGATATTCTGGCCTTGGCTGAAGCCTACAGTCTGGAGGATCTGGGCAGACGGGCAGAGGACTATGCTTTAGCCCACTTTCAGAGGGTCGCAGAGGGGGAGAAGTTCAAGAATCTGCCCTGCGTCCATCTGCAGCGTCTGCTGGAGAGAGATGCGCTCAATGCAGACAGTGAGGTAAGCTCTGAAGAACCTCAACCCCAAATTTAATTATTTTTAAATAAAATACATTAAATAATAAAAAAAGTTAGGTTAGGCATAAACTCAAACCAAAATTAAAAACAATTAAATAAATAATATTTGTGGGAATAAATATTGCTTATAAAAGTTCAAAAACAAACAGTCAACAACAACAACAAAAAATATGCAAAGATACACTACGATTATGCAATTTACCTGTAGTTACAGTAATTCTGATTAAATGTTACATTAATGTGCTGGACTCTCTATATAAACCAGCTTTTCTCTTTCGGTCTCACCTAGCCTACATCTCTGCGTCTTTCTAAGCAATTCTGGAACTTTACATTGATGCAGTTTTCAAGTTATTGTCTCCCTACAATCGCTCATTTCAGGAAAAGCATCCACTAATTTAAACAGTACAAATAGAAATGTCAAATGCATTGTTACTTTCTGAATGGCTGTTAGAAAAAAAACACGCTTTTGGCTGCATCAGCATGAAAAGAGCAGCAGGGGCAGCAGCTCATCCAGACTCTCTCTTTCTCTCCCGACAGCTGGCCGTGTTCAGAGCTGTGGTGAACTGGGTGGAGGATGATGAAGACCGGAGACTGTCTCATCTCTCACGACTGATGCAGAGCATTCGGTTCGCTCTCATGAGACCAGAGGAGCTGCAGGAGGTGCAATACAGCACTTCTGCGTGGACAATGCCTCACTTTGTTTTCTTCAAAGCTCCATAATGTCTACTAAATCTCCTTTAACAGGTGCAGGACTGTAAGCTGCTGCTCAGGAGCTCAGGAGGGAAAACAACGCTGGAAACCGTGAAAAATCTCCTGCATGGTGATCGGAGAACATCGGACTGCAAACCACGAACACCTAACCAGGTACATCACAGACAGCTGCCGTCTCATTAATAAACACAGCTGAAAAATAGTTATTACATAAAATCAATAAAAAAACAAAACTAGTAATTTCATCACAATTCTATAGTCTACTCTACATACACAACCCGTATTCTACTACCTTTCTAAGCTGCCCCTTTCTCCCAAATTTTGAAAATCGCTTACAATTTCTAAGATTGATTATTCTGCATAACAGTGGTTATATATTATTAATTATATATGTTTATTATTAAAGTAGTGGTTTAGTGGTGGGCGATATGACTAAATATTTAAATACTATAAATATTTAACTCTGATACACACTTAATATTAATTAGGTTTGTGTTGACACCTAAATGTTATCAATTAAACAGTGGCCGAGAGAGCTCAATGCACTGCAACTTAAGAAAACACATGCAAATAGAAAAAAAGACCAGCAAATTAAGAAAAAATCGACACCAGTTTGACAACACACGCTGCAAATACACACAACGTGACCAAATACAAAAATGCGCTGCAAAAACTCGCAAAACAAGCAAATACAGAAACCTGCTGAAAATACACACAACGCATCCAAATGCAGAAAGAAGTTGAAAGTAGCACAGACTGGAATGGAAGAGAATGAAAATTAACCCTAAATGTGTAACAGGACTAACAGCACTTTTTGGTAAAGAAAGTGTTACACTTTATATTAAGTAAACAATTCCTATGGATTTACCATGTAATTACTCTGATGTTACACAGCAGCAGCCAGTAAGTTAGGCTTCACATATAAATTGTGGATGGTGTCCAGAATGTTACACTTTATATTAAGTGGACAGTTCCTGAGGAGTTACCATGTAAGTACACTGGTATTACAATGGTGCACCAACTCCACCAACTTGAGATCCAACTCCTCCCACTTTACATATCCCTAAACCTACCCATCTCCACCCCCTGGATCCCATTTCCACCCCTAAACCTACTCATCTCCACCCCCTGGATCCCATTTCCACCTCTAAACCTACCCATCCCCACCCCCTGGATCAAATTGTTTCAATTACTCTTATACATATTGTTGTTACAAAATGTAGTTGTATATGTCCTGTTACACATTTGTACTTACACAAAACATTCGGAGGCACAACTGACAGGCACTGAACATTTATATGCACCTGCAAGCTCACATAAAGCTATATTTACTAAAAATCAAGTCAAAACCAGTTGACTTTATTGTTTATATTGTAGCCAATTGTAAACTATCGCCCTAGCAAAATGCTAAATGTGGACAATAATATGCAAAGTATCATGTTATTTTAGCATCATGATATTAGTTGTATGTCAGTGATAATATGACATCAGTGTGTTTCTCTTGAATTTGCGTTAGGTTTTGGTGCTCGTTGGTGGAGATTGTGTGAATGAGAATTTCGAGCGTCGAGAGCCAAACCTTTGCCTGTGGTTTGCCCAGTGCTTTATGCGCGGAGAGGGACTCATCCGAACCATCGAGTGGAGACCTTTAGCGCACCTCCCTGAGCCACCACGCTTCCGCCACTGTGTGTGTGTTCTCAACAACACACTCTATATCATCGGAGGCCGGAAGTACTACGGTGCCCTGGACATTCTGAAGACTGCTCTGAGGTGAGGGTCTTTGGTTCATCTTGTGTTTGCACACAGCCATACGTAAGAAATAATCAGTGATTGTCAGTCCTGTGTCTTGTATTTTGTTCCCCACATGTTCCATGTCCCAGTTTTCCCATGTTGATTGTGTTCATTTGGTTCCACGTGCTGTCTCGAATGTCGATCCCGTGTCCTACGTGTATCTTCCTAGATGTCAATAAAGACTGTTTGATTAAGATTCTCCTGCATTCTCCTCGTTCCTCGTTCGTCACTCCTTGTTCCTCGCTCCTCACCATAGGCACATCGTGACAGAAGTCAGCACCATAAACAGTGAGCGGCACCCCTACTCTCCGTGTTTTTGATTCCGGTTTTGAAAGTGGTTTTTTTTGTTTTCCGTGTTTTCCCCCCGCGATTAAGGAGATTGCTGCACGCTTGATTGCCCTCGCCCGTAGAGATCTCCCCTTCGTCGAGTGTGCCTGGGAGTTCTGCGGGCTCGCCGCAGTGACGGCATTGGATGATGCCACCATCAACTCTCTGTTCTGGCACAGGGCCAATTACCCAGAGAGTTTTGCCCAGAGAGTGATCCAGTCCCCGAGTTTTGCCCAGAGAGAGATCCAGTCCCCGAGTTTAGCCCAGAGAGGGCTCCAGTCCCCGAGTTTAGCCTAGAGAGGGTCCCGGTGCCCGAGTTTGGCCCAGAGAGAGCTCCAGTCCCCGAGTTTAGCCCAAAGAGGGCTCCAGTCCCCGAGTGTAGCCCCGAGAGGGTTCCAGTCCCCGAGTTTAGCCAAGAGAGGGCTCCAGTCCCTGAGTTTAGCCCAGAGAGGGTTTCGGTCCCTGAGTTTAGCCCAGAGAGGGTTCCAGTCCCCGAGTTTAGCCCCGAGAGGGTTCCAGTCCACGAACTTTGCCCAGAGAGGGTTCCGGTCCCCGAGTTTGGCCCAGAGAGGGTTCCAGTCCCCGAGTTTAGCCCCGAGAGGGTTCCAGTCCCCGAGTTTAGCCCCGAGAGGGTTCCAGTAGTCGTGGAAAGAGTACTAAGAAATTGTACTTAAGTAAAAGTATTGCTACTTAAGGAATAATTTATTTGAGTACAAGTAAAAGTACTGAAAAATAATATGACTCAAGCAAGAGTAAAAAAGTAGTTTGCTAAAAACAAAACTACTCACGTTACTGCGTTACAAAGTACTTTAGTATTCTACAGCTGAATAACATGCAGATAGAGATGCTTTGACTGATGAAACGTGGAAGACAATAAACACAACTGCAATGCAACGCTAATTGACAGCTTGTATCACACTAAGTCTCACTGTGATAAGAAGCAACATGGAACCACAGAAGCTAACTGTTTCAAACACAACTGATGTTATTTAGGGATTTTGGAGCAAAACATGATATTAGTCTCATAATTGTCATGTTTGACGCTATGTTAAACAAACATACTACCTTTCCCTGTTGCCAGGAGCAAATGTTTTATAACTAATTTTGAAAAGTACATTCACTTATAAAATTATGTGGTTGTTTTTAAGAAGGGCAAAAGCAAAGAAGGGTAAGTGAAGGTTTAAAAGAAAAGAAAGGGTCTTAAACAGTGTGAACAGAAAGGTGCCAGTAAAAAATAATGTGGGGTACGGGTACGGTTGGGCATAGTTTGACTTTTAGTGATTCTAATTCTTGTCAATTCCCAATTTCAATTCCAATAAGGTAAATAAAAAAAAAAAAAACATAAATAAATAAATCTTAGATATCATCTTATTGCAAAATATTTCATAGCTAGCGGAATACTATGAATGAACATCAACAGGCTAAAAAACACTTACACAAGGATGTGTGTATCAGAGAAAACAGCCCGTCAGCCCGTGAGACTTGAATGGTTTAAAATCACATTGAAAGTGTAGTTCCCTTTCAGTCGGTCACTCTCGACGTCACGTCGTCACGTCGGCGAATTGGGATCTCGCTTAGAGGGACCAATCTACTTCGAGTGTAAACTAAATGAGCCAATGCACATTGGCATGCGATTATTGCATCCAGCTGCTGCTGATCACAGCGTGAGTATAAGTAAGTAGCAGATGCAGCGCATATTCAGCTTTTCGCTTCGGAGCCGAGCGATCACATCGTTCTGCTCCTGACTACTCTACGGAGAGAAGAAGACTGAACGAGTTCAGCACGCTCTTGGAGAGCTCTTCGTGTTGGCGGACGGCGCTTCAGCGGTGGTGGTTTCCCGTGTCGAGTGGGTTGCACACATCAGGCTGCACTACCCC